GGTAAGTCCTGCTTCTAATGGTACTAATTTTCCCTGTTTTCATGGTATGTCTCACCGTACTTCTGGTATTTCTCATGGTACTTCTCAGGTCCTTGATCTTACCACAGAAAAAAAAATCCTTTCGAGTTGTGATAACATGAGCTTGAGTTTGCGGTCCTCATCTAAGTCATCCGCGAATGGCTTCTAATTATCAGCTGTGTCTCGTTTCGTCGTTTCTATTAACTCGTTCGGCAAGTGCGCAGAGGAGGATGGTTGAGCGAAAGTGCTTATGGCTTTGGTCTGCAAGGCTCACGCGCGCGCGGCCGTGTCTTGAGATCCGCACTTTATAGAGGAAGATTGGCATCGTATTTTTACTCTCGTGTCCGTTCCTGCTCGGTCGTTTTCGTTCGTTCTTTCTTTCTTGTTTTTTTTTTCTCCCTTTTCTTACGGAATGCTGTTGAGTAGATTTTGCCAAGGAGTGAAAGGCTTTTATAGAGCATCTGCCATTTCTAGGATTCGTTATTGCTCCTTGACTGTGTTTTGTAGAGGTTGATTCCGATATTATGTTAGGTAGTTTTTTTGTGCTATTGTTATTATTAATAGACACAAGGCCCACCTGTATTACTAGCGCTGCTACTGCTCTGTGTGTTTGTGTGTATGCATGTGTATGTGTGTGTGTGTATGTGTGTGTGCGTGCGTGTGTGTGTGTGTGTGTGTGTGTGTGTGTGTGTGTGTGTGTGTGTGTGTGTATGTATGTATGCTCTTCTCCCCGTACCCCTTTTCCTGACTCATCTCAAACATGAATGAGTCACCACAGGCCCTCTATAGAACCACAGCGAAGTTCCTGGCCGATGCCGTCACTTTGCCTACCTTGAATTAGAGAAAAGGTAATATGCAAAAGGACAAGAATAGGAAAATACATTGTTTATGTATTTTAGTTAAAGAGGAAGAAAATGAATATTCTTGTGACGGTTTTCGCTAGACGTGAATAGTTCTGAAGGGCTGCGGGCAAGAAGGCCGTTTCGCAGTTGAGCGTCGCTTCGGTCTAGAACTTTCTAGAACGACAGGATACTAGGATTAACTTCGCAAAAGCAGTGTGATTATCACTGCTGCTGCTATTCACCATTTGATCCGAGAAAAAATAAATATTTTATATAACTGAATCCACGTCTTACGCAGCTTTTAAAACGAAGAGTCCTTGTTCATGGTTGCGTCAGGGATGACTTTGCCCCTTACCGCCTTCCCCTCCCTCCCCCTCCCTCCCCCTCTCCCGGACTACTATGACATCATCCCTTCCCCCCACCTTCCCTCCCTTATTTCCTCCCTCCCTCCCTCCCTCCCTCCCATGGCGCGGTCATCGAAGGTGTCATGGGAACTTTATGATATTTACACTTCGCCTTGTGGGGAGTTGTAGGGGAGTGACCATGCCGCGCGCTCGACGTGACTTGGGCTTTACGGTTCTCGTTGTGATGCGTCGACGCCCTTGGAAACGGCCTGGTTTTGTGTTCGGTGCCTGATAGAGCAGTGCTTGACGGAGGACGAGCAATGGTGTTAATGTTTAAGTTGGTTCTCGCGGCGGTTGATGTCTTCATTCACAGAAATCGTCTTGTTTTTCTCTTTTTTTTAATTGCATTAATATCTTCTAAGGCTTTATGGTGCGCGATTAATTGAATTGATTCAGATTTATCCAGGTATCAATGTTTATATTAATATTAACGCAGGATTCCTCTTCAGGTTGATTTATACCGCGATTTGTTAACTACCAAGGGGCCTTCCTTATCACCCGAACGGCCTCTTGAGTTTGATGCTATTGTTATTTCTTTTGCATGCACGTTTTGATCCTGCAGTCTAGTAACAATGTCATCACCAGTACTCTGGAGGGATCTGATTCTATTGCAGGAGACTTTATTCCGATGCTTATTACCAAAGAGGAAACGTGCAGATGCGCTTTCACATATTGAAAACGGGTAGCAGGAGGGTGGGAGGATGAGAGGGTGTGAGGTCAGGGAAATAGGGAGAGGGAGAGGGAGAAGAAGGAGAGGGAGAAGAAGAAGGAGAAGGAGAAGGAAAGGGAGAAGGAGAGGACGAGGGAGAGGGAGAAGAAGGGGGGGGGGAGAAAAAGGAGAGGGGGAATGAGAATGAGAGGGAGTAGGAGAGGGAGAAGGAGAGAGGGAGGAAGAGGGAGAGTTAAAGAGAGAGGGAGAGAGAGAAGGTGAGGGAGAAAGAGAGAAGGTGATGGAGAAAGAGAGAGAGAAGGAGAGGAGAGGAAGAGAGAGGAGAGAGAGAGGGAGAGAGAGAGAGGGAGTGAGAGAGAGAGAGAGAGAGAGAGAGAGAGAGAGAGAGAGAGAGAGAGAGAGAGAGAGAAATAGAGATAGAAACTGAGAGAGATAGGGGCTTGTTAACCTTATGTCACGGTCACTTGCTAATGGTAAGGTCGAGGTGGACTATCAGCCTGTGGTAAGGTCCCAGAACTTTTACACCCGCAAACAAGCTCATATACCTACAAATGGTAAGGTCACAGTAAAACTACAACCTTCGATGGCACGGCAAGCACCCATTACAACCCACTAATGGTAGAGTCATGCACGGGGCTCCTTTCCTAATGGTAAGGTCACGCCTCGCCCTCGTACTTAATGGTAAGGTCACAACACCCCGACGCCCGCTAATGGTAAGGTCGGATCTTTTATAGCTGTGCCTCCGCCAGGTAAATGTAATGTATGCAAATGAACCGACAACTGCCTGGTGACTCACAGGTCAAGTTATTTTTTTTCTCTATCTTTGTCTTCTCTTGTTAAACCTCTTTTTTCCCCATTTTGTTGTCTTGGTCCGCGACGGCTAATCACGAAATGATATGCATATTTACATATTCATATGCTTAAATCTGGCGGATGACTCATGGGTGATGGGGATTGTATCTGTCTCTGTGAGTACTGGGTACTATCTCTCTCTCTCTCTCTCTCTCTCTCTCTCTCTCTCTCTCTCTCTCTCTCTCTCTCTCTCTCTCTCTCTCTCTCTCTCTCTCTCTGTTTGTGAGAGAGAGAGATAGTCTTCTCTCTCTCTCTCGCCTTCTCACTTTCGTATTCTCTCTCTCTCTCCCTCTCTCCCCTCTCCCTCTCCCTTCTCTCTCTCTCTCTCTCTCTCTCTCTCTCTCTCTCTCTCTCTCTCTCTCTCTCTCTCTCTCTCTCTCTCTCTCTCTCTCTCTCTCTCTCTTATACTCTCTCTCGCCTTCTCTCTCTCGCCTTCTCACTTTCGTATTCTCTCTCTCTCTCTCTCTCTCTCTCTCTCTCTCTCTCTCTCTCTCTCTCTCTCTCTCTCTCTCTCTCTCTCTCTCTCTCTCCTCTCTCTCGCCTTCTCACTTTCGTATTCTCTCTCTCTCTCTCTCTCTCTCTCTCTCTCTCTCTCTCTCTCTCTCTCTCTCTCCTCTCTCTCGCCTTCTCACTTTCGTATTCTCTCTCTCTCTCTCTCTCTCTCTCTCTCTCTCTCTCTCTCTCTCTCTCTCTCTCTCTCTCTCTCTCTCTCTCTCTCTCTCTCTCTCTCTCTCTCCCTCTCTCTCTCTCTCTCTCTCTCACACACACACACACACACACACATACTCTCTCTCTCTCTCTCTCTCTCTCTCTCTCTCTCTCTCTCTCTCTCTCTCTCTCTCTCTCTCTCTCTCTCTCTCTCTCTCTCTCTCTCTCTTTTACTTCCTGCCAGTATCTTCTACTCAGCACGAGTGAGAAGGGAGACAGGGGAGCTATCACAAAGGACTTTTCCCTTTTTGGTGTATGTGTGTGTGGTTGGATGGGTAGGTGGGTGTTGGTGTGGGTGGGTGTGTGGATGTGGATATGAGTATGTGTGTGCGTGTTTGTGCACATAGTTCTTCAGTACAAAAGATCAGCGAAAACTCCCTTGGATAATATTTGTTTGTAATACCAGAATAATTCAGCGAAGTTTTCGCAAAATCTTCAAATCATCCCTTGTCACTTGAGAGGTGTTTGTCGATCGTCTTAACAGGCCCGACATGTATTCTATTGCATTTTGATAAATGTAAATTTAAGTCGAAACTCCTTCTACGAGAATCGCGGTTAAAATTGAGATTTTAGTGTCGCTAAAGGGATTCTTGGAAATGATCCATCTACGTGCGAGTGCCTGCATGCGGAAAGTAACGCATACTAGCAGTAATTAGTGTTAGCGTTGTGTCCCCTTAGACGGTCGCAATGTTTGTTGTCGCACAAGACGTTTACAAGGCGACTTAAGACGTCAGTTGACGGCGTTTAAGGGCGAGAGCGTGGTCATCAGCGGGATCAGTAAACACCTTTTCGTGTCCAGCATACGATATTGCTGCCATGTCATACCTTTGTCTCGACATCTGTTGCGGCTTCGGCTTCGAGCTCGTGACGCTCGCGGTTTGGCTAACGCAGCGACGTCATAGTCTGCGGCACATCCGAGTGACATCGGAGGCTATCTATAGTAGGACTGGAAGGAGCTGAGTGATATCCTTTTACGACTAGCTCGCCATTAAGCTCAAGGGGAAGCCCCTTAATTGCCAATCGGAGGGTTCGGGGCGCTGGGATGGCGCTGGGCGAGGCGACGGCGACGACACTGGCGCCCTCAGGCTTGTCATCAGCGTCAGCTAATGTGCGCTAATCCCTCAGCGGACACGGGCTCGTCTACCGCCTCTTTCAATTTCCATTTATGCCTTTTGTCACAGCGCCGAAGTCTCGGCCGCAGAAATGTCGTGTTTTTTTCCTTCCTTTTGTAATTAGTTTGTCTGTCTTGATTCTTGTCCTTCACCGCAGATGTGCCATAACACTTTCGAATCTTTCTTTGTTACATGTCTTTCTTGCTGCAGCAGACTTTCTCTTGACACTTTTGGGAATTTGATCGACCGATTGTTGATCACTCGCCATGCCGAGGGCACCGTCTGGCAGTAATACAAGGACATATTCCTTTGCATTTCCCTTGACAAAGTTTTCTTCTTCACCTCGAAATCATACGCAGGTTTGTATCTCCATACATCATGCGGTGACTCTTGC